ACTTCCAGCTCAGGAAACTGGGACACGGCTGGTTGCTGCAGGGCATATGGCGGGGGAGAACTCTACAGGCATGCCCAGTGCTTATACCTGTATGGTGGCTTCTGGCCACTGTGGGGATTAAGAGATTGGGCCAGCAGACCTTTGGTCTGATCCAGACAAACTGATTTTTAACTTTAAATGTTCTTATGATGCTGTAATTCTATAGAAGGGACAGGTTGAGGGTAATTCAGTTGCCTAAATGCCAGCATCTGGTATCATGAGGCATTCTGCCATCCCTTCAGCTCCTCTGCAGGGAGAGCTCAGGTAAATCCTGTGTGGCTCTAAGAAGATACCTGGAGTGTCCTTGGTAGCTAAAATGGCTCTAAGTACATATGGTTGGGTTTTTACTGTTTCTGGGACCAGGTTAGAATTGCAGAGGGGGGGCCTCTTTGAACAGCAGTACTTTTGGACGAGTTGAATGTTCAGGTTCCGGTGGTCACAAACCACAAGTTTCTGGGCATTGCAGCATTAGGAGAGGGTAAATGCCCATACTTGACATTAATCAGTTTTGAGATCTGGCCCTGGTTCTTTAGTCTGCTGACTCACCCCGTATGAATCTGCTTTTCACACCCAGAGAAGCTGAGGCAACAGCAGCTCATATGCCAAGGTGGCAACATCTCAGGGCTCAATGTGTGCAGAGCAGCCTGACAATAGCTAATCCTTCTGTGTGACAAAAGTCACTTCTGAAGTGAGAAGGCCATGGAGAGAAGGGAATTTGGGACATCACTAAGTTCTCTAGACTGCTGGTGTATCACCAATGCACTGATGAGTGGAGCAAGTGAGAGGGTGGCTGTTAGGGTAGGTGTGCTGTGCTGAATCGTGCTGCCGTCCCTGGTAGGGAAAAGTATCTGACTCACATGCCACCAGCAAGTTTCTGTAGACAGGAACCAAAACAGTCCCTGGTAATTTGGAGAGGAAGCTTCGGAGAACAACAAAGAGAAATACATCTTATTTGTGGTTATTTTCGAATGGTACCACACAGACTGAAGTAATAGCTGCAGTCAAACGGGCTCCAAGCAAAGTGTTCCCCTCACTGGCAACTCGTACAGCTTCTTCTCCTCACACCCTCCAGCTACTCTGAAAGCCAATGCTTTGCCCATGTCCTAGAAGAAAGAGCCTCTGCCCTCTCTTGTACAACTACTGCCATTACTTCCTTACCACCTTTTCCCCTCCTGCCTAATTGTGCCTGCATGATCCCATATACCTGTAAAAATCCACATTTCAGAGAACTGGGAGGGATATCAAATGATCAAGACTTCCTCTCTTGACATGTGCCTGTGCCAAGGGCAGAAATTTCACAACCATTCTTCTTTCCCCAGCATATTCCAGCACTTTATGATTGTCTTTAGGGAGGCCTCCTTGAGAAACACTGAAATCTTCTCCGCTCTGGTTTTGGCTCCCTTCTCTGTGCCCTCTTCACTGAGGACAGATTGTTCTGGGGTTTTTTGCAACAAGCTGCAGACTGCATTCCTGTTCTTCTTCACCTCCTCCCCTCTTCAGTGATGAAGCACAGCTTTTCAGCATCAGAAGGTATTTGCTCCCACTAAACATTGGTTCCATTTAACCATTTTTGTTTTCTCTGGAGGAAAGAGAGGATGTTGAGCACAGAAGATTCCCATGTATGTCAGACCTCCATTGCATTGTTTGACTGTGGTTGACAGAAGCTTGTCAATATTTTTGAGAAATGTGAGAGAGTTAAAAAAAAAAAAAACAAACCTCACACCATTAAGTTTTTTCCACTTTGCCTGAAATCTTTAAAAACTTAAAGTTTCATTATTTCAAGCACGGGGTAAAAATAATTGGGTTTTGGTAAACATTAGTTGTTGGACTTTTTAAAAAACTGAACTATCTAGTGGTTTTATTTTCCGTTCTCCAACTGAAAACAGATTTATGGTAGATTTGCAAGTAAAAAATATTTTAAAATGACTACCTCCTTTTCTGGAATGCTTCTGATCTCAAATCACCTTAAAAAACTTGTCAAGCAACACATGTCTTTAACAGCAGGCATAGTGTTAAAAAAAAAATAATATTTGTGCTTCTGCGAAGTGAGGGAAAAAGGTAAGGCAAGACAAGGTAAAGGGAATGCTGAAAATGAGCAGCCAGGCAGAGCGATCCATTGTGTAGGCGCTGCCAGCGCTGTGCACTCTCCAGGTTGGAAAGGCTCCTCGGCCTGGAGGGATGAGTTGAGGGTCACTGCAGTGGGGTCAGACCCATGCGGAGAGACTGGGCTGCGTGTCTTTTGTGAGCAGCGCAGAGGGCCATCCCCAGCAGGCAGGTTGGATGTGACCACCGTCCTTGGAAAGAGTTCAGTAGCATGGGCCTGGTCTGCGTATGCCAGCTGGTCTCAGCTCTAGAGAACAATCGTAAGTATAATTAATTCCAGCTGGGTAACTACAAACCACACAGGGAGATGGCATTTTTGGATATAAAAGCATTTTATTTGGATTGGGAGCTCAATTTAATTGGATTATAGCTTGGTTTATAATGGGAATACTTTTCCCTTGACAATGTTACTTACGATGGGGGTTTCTTTTTCAGTGTATGTGAAACTTTCTCAATTTTAATAGCAGGAAAAAGCCCCAAAGGTTTATCCTGTAAAATTAGTCTTCTTTGGTATATAGTGTTCTAATATTTCATGCTTGCTTTCTTGGTTTTGTTTTTTTGTTTTCTGTTTTTTTTTAACCTGCTTATTTAGTGTATTGAAAATTAAACACCATGCCAATTCCCTTACCAAGTACAAGCAGATGTGTTCATACATGCACTTCTCACTGCTGGAGAACTTGGCAGTGATAATCACAGGTAGCATGTTAAGAAACAATGCTAGTGCAAGTAAACTAACTATGGCAAAATACCCAGTGGCTTCTTTCTTTTCTTTTAGACACTTTTTACAATGCTTATAAGGCATGTCTTATACATTTTCTCCTGCCAAAATTCGACAAGATATCTGAACTTTTGAAAACTTACGTTGACAAGATTTCAATCTCTGTCATAAGTGATCATGTTAGATCTCATAAGAGATCGTGTTAGATCTCACAGATTTTTTTTCTTTATAGATTCGGTCCAGTGCTGAACCACAAATGGAACAGACAGTTCAGGCTGTTCAGACTGAAAACCAAAAATTGAACAGGTATGTATTCAGAGACAGAAATGAGGAGGAAAAATTAGAAAGTTCTCATAAAATCCCCGTCTCCTTTATGATGAATTCTGAATGCACGGAGCTCTGCTTACAACTTTGTGCACAGTAACAGAGCAGGTACAACCAAATAAACTTAACCACAACTCGATGCAATTTGAAACACTTGAAAGCATATTAATAATTTTTCAGATTTGTGACTCATTAACCAGATCAGACATGACAGTCCAATTTTCAGAGTGTGTGAAATGTAAACTGAACAACGATCTGCGTATGTGTATGTCTGGGCTCACTGGCAGAGGTCAGGAAAGGCAGCATAAGGCACTGAAGTATCCAGATGTTAAATTGACATTATTTTGCTTTCAAGAACCTGTCCTTGATTTTCCAATCTACTGGCACCCCTCTGATAGTCAATGCAATTTCCACATTTGAAGAATTTCTTTACTCAGGTGGGATGCTGAATTTCAACGACCGAGTTGTTGTTCATTAAGAATTATCTCTTCTGTTTTCACTCTCCGTTTTGTCTTTGCAGTGTGTGCTGGCAGACGGCAGGGGCTGCTCCTCCATCGCCGACAGCCCAGGTCACATCAGAAACCCTTTATCTCTTCTGTATTCCCAGGAGGCCTCTGGAGATCAATTCACAAAACAAAGATAGCAGATGGGGGGATGTTACATTGTCACAAAGTCAATATTTTTGAATCACAGAATGATTAAATAAGCATTGTTTCCTGCTTGTGCATTAATGTACAATCAGTTGCCAGATGAGAGATATAAAGCGTCATACAAAGTCTTGCGCAATCTACGGTTTAGTACCAGGAAGTACCTGTCGATGAAAGATAGCAGCCTGCCAGGATGCAAATGTTATTACTCTCTTAATTGCCTAAAATAATTTTCTGCTCATGTCAAGAAACAATACACTTATTCATTCTTGCTCAGTGTTTTATCCGTGAGCATGTGGGCTCGCTCCCCATTTCCCATGTGTTCTCGTGCGGACTTGTAGGAGCTGCCATTGCCATTAGCCCCGAGCCTTGTGTGCTCAGCTTGCTGCTGCTGCAGAGGGCCAGGGAGTGTAACACAGGCTATTTTTTGGCCCCTAAGGAGTCTATCAATACACCAATTCTCTCCCCAAGTGTTACACTATGTCACTGATAATGTTTGTGACCTTCTGCAGACAGAGTTGTTGATAGCTGTGTCTAGGCGGAGGGCAATTTTTCCTCATCATATGGGTGTTTCACCTTTTCAGTTCTCTTCTTGCTGCAAATGAACACAATCGCAACGTCTCCCTAGAGGTTCTCATCACCATTAGGTCTTCAAATTGGCAATTAAGCAGCAGGACAAAAAATACACCAGCAACTTGTTTTGTGTGAAACACAATTGGCAGGCTTTTACTTATTTTCTCCTATTGTGTTTTGAGTAAAGAACTGAAGCAGCAAGTTTTTTCAGCCCTATGAACTACAGAGCAGAGAAACATATTATCAAAACATTGCCATGCCCAATGCTGGCATGGTGATACTGCACCCTCCTGCTGGCATCTTGGTGAGGAACAGCGTGAGGTGTCTCCCACTCTCTCTCCCCCCCAGCCCATGTGGGCAGAGAAGAAAAGGAAGGCATTGATTTAAAAATAAGTTAAATAAAAAAACTCTTGCAACCCAGTGGCAATTGCCCAGGGAAGTGGCGTAATTGCAGATTGGGCCAGCCGCAGCCACCAGTGTCACCTTGGAGACCGGCTGGTAAACTCTAGGCCTCCCAAAAAAGGGGGGGCCAAGGCAGCTGGGTGTGCAAACAAGTAAAACGAGATGGACAAGGAAGCTCTGCAGTGAGTCTGCGGTCCTGCATCCTCTCCACTTGCCACCTGAGCCCGGTGAGAGCCTGGGAGCAGGGAGGCAGGTGGGGCACGACGTTGCCCCAGCCCCCCGACACCTCCCAAGTCCGGGGTGGAAACCCCAAGTGCAGGATAGCATTGCAGGTAAAGGATTCTTTTCTCTTGTTTTCTAGCTTGCAGTGAGCTTCTCTGATCAGTTGAGCTTGCGGTTCAGCCAAGAGTGGGATTTTTTATACACATATATTACTATATATATATATATATATATATATAAAATACATGTTTCATATATAAAACATGCAAATTATATATATGCAAAATAGAAAGGGTGGTACTGCCCCACCTGCCAGAAGATAGGAGCTGGATGATGGTGGGGGTGGTGGAGAGGCATAGGGGAGGCTGCTACAGAGGGGTGAGTGGGACTGGGAAACCAGATTTTTAAGGAGGTCTTCAGATGATTGCCAAACACTCATGCAGTTTTCACACTTTTAATAATTTAATGAAATTATTAGGAACAAATCAAATGCGTGCAATTAGTTTAGGCCAGTAAATCTTTTCTCAGACTCTGAGATCTGCTCAGGGATGGTGTGCAACTCATGTGTTTGGCCAGGACAGGGACTTTCAGGAGCCTGCGATAATGGGGAGGCTAGTATGGGTTTCTGCTTGCCACACTGGGGTGTTTTTCAGGACTTCCACAAGTGTCTCTTGGACTCAGCTGAAGGCTAACATATAAATGAATGGTGCTGAGCTTAGATTAAATCTTTTTCTTCCCAGATTTAAGCCTCAGGCTTAGAGGGATGTAAAGAGATCTGATTGCTGAACAGCCTAAGATTCTTCTGCAAAAAAACCAAAACCAAAACCAAACCAAACCAAACCAAAACAAACCAAAACAAAACAATTGATAATTTCAGGTTTTGTATTCATTAAGAAGAAATGCAATTGTTTCTGTCCAGCCTTCACAACACAAAAATTGCCCATAGAAACAAAGAATGCTGAGAACGCGGGGTACTGTAACTGTCCAGGGTGGTACACAAAACAAAACACTCTAGCAATCAGAATTAAATTAAACAGCTTCTTTCATTTCACTGTGGGAGATGTCTGATGATCTTGGAAGAGATATAAGAATTAAAAACATGAAAAGTTTAGGTTATGAGCTTTTCTTGTTTTATTAATTGTTATTAATGCATAACATGTTTGTAAGGCATACATAGAACCGTTACAGCCAGCAAATGCTGACTGTATCTTTACCTACTTCACATTATCCAAAAAGGGGGAAAAGCAAAATGGAAGGAGAGACCAGGTGAATGTGATTCCTCTATCCTTGCTCTGATTCAGAATCTGTGATCTTACAATGCAGCATAGACTTTTAACAGCCTAGGAAGGGTTTATCTCTAGTTTAAACCAGCAGCCAACAGAAATAGTGAAGTGGTAGATGTGTTACTACTGACCAGGTTTGCATGTAGTAAGCTTTATGTTTAACTGGTTTTCTGTATTTATTGAATGTATAGAAAGGATTCTCAAATGCATGCTGCTCTGTGATAAAGGAAGACAGATCATGTTTAAGAAGCTTTAGTGTGATGTCTAAGTGAGTTTTATATAGCAATGTGGTGTTGATGATTTTGTTATTTAATATTACAGAGAATGGAGATTTTCAAAGAGCAGCAGAAATATTTATTATTAGTGTTTTTAACCATGATACACGGGGAAAAAAAGAGTTAATATCTCAGCCCATGGCATTACTAGACTGCTCTGTCCCACTTCAGGAGGAACACTGGAAAAAACTGGAAAAGTTCAGGACCAACAACAGAACTATCTAACACCTAGAAACTCATTTTGTAACAAGAATCCTAAGGTCTATCTAATTACTTAGCCAAAGAGGGCTTAAGAGAGTCTTTCAAGTGTTTGCATGTGGACAATTTTTTAACAGGTAGCTCTTTAATCTAGTAAAAGAAAGTAAAACAGCGTCTAATACAGGGGAAATTCAGACTAGAAACAAACATATTTTAAAAAGAAAATATTCAATACTAGCACAACTTAGCCTAGAGATGGTGACTTCTCAGCTAGAAGTGCTTGTGAGTGTAGAAGCAAACTTTGTACTTACTGCAGAGATAACCGAGGACTGGCCAGTTTCAGTGGCTTTTATTGAGGTGCAGGAGATCCTAATAGATACCAGAGAATCACAGAATCATCAAGGTTGGAAAAGACCTTAGAGGTCACCCAGTCCAACCATTAACCTCACACTGACAGTTCCCAGCTACACCAGATCCCTCAGTGCTAGGTTGACCCTACTCTTAAACCCCTCCAGGGATGGGGACTCCACCACCTCCCTGGGCAGCCCATTCCAACGCCCAACAACCCCTTCTGGAAAGAAATGCTTCCTAATATCCAGTCTAAACCTTCCCTGGTGCAACTTGAAGCCATTCCCTCTTGTTTTATAGCTTGTTCATTGGTTAAAGAGACTCATCCCCAGCTCTCTGCACCCTCTTTTCAGGGAGCTGTAGAGGGCCATGAGGTCTCCCCTCAGCCTCCTCCTCTCCAGACTAAACACCCCCAGTTCCCTCAGCTGCTCCCCGTACGACCTGTGCTCCAGACCCTGCACCAGCTTCGTTGCCCTTCTCTGGACACGCTCGAGTCATTCAATGTCCTTTTTGTAGTGAGGGGCCCATCTGATACTGTATCAGATGATACTTTCCTAGCCTCAATTCATGAATCTCACTTGCAATGATTATTTGATGTGCATTGCAGTATGCTGGAAATGTCTCTGCAGAACCCAAGGCAAAGAGCTGCTACACTCTTTGCATTGTGTGTGCTTGTGCAGATTTTTGCAGTGTACAGTGGAGACAAATTATGTAATCACTGGTCTCATTATTTATAGATCTGTATAAATACATAACATAGTATAGAGGCATACTGCACAGTGCTATGCATGGGTTATGCACTCTGTATACAGATTTATAGACATCATATATATGTAAGCTATGGTACATAATTATGTAATGTAAATATAGTTTGCACTGTGTTCATGTAACCTCACTGTATTTTATATTCTTGCCCGTTAAACATCACTTAAAGAAAGGTCATTGTTTGTGGAAAACATTTGTGACTGCTGATCTCACATAGCTGTAAGGTCTTTCTGGTCATTCATTAATGACTTCCCAGAAGAACTTTGCTCATTCTGGCTGAAGCAAAAGCTGAAATGGTCTCTTTTCTACCATGTTAGATTTTTACAGTTAGCTACTACTGAAACCATTTGAGAAGGAACAAAACCATTTTACTTTTCTGTTTTTCTAAGCCCAGCTGGTGTTTTCTGAAGAGGTTGCAAAAGTCAGTACATGTGACATAGCCATAGCCAATGCTCTGTAGACAGGAGCAGAGTAGTTAAGATGAAACAGTTTAATTCTGTTTCTCAGATTTCTCTGACCATTTCAATTCACACCTCTGCATGTGCAATAACAATGAGGTTGGAAGTGCAATGTACATGGATGATGCCTCACAGGGCTGCCCATCTTTTTCATCTCCCCACCCTCAGCACCCTTAGCAGAGCACCAAGTGGCCTGAGTCAGGAGCTCTGCTGTAACTCAACCCAGTCCTTCTGTAATTCTTTTTGTGCCCTGGTCCTGTGATGCTTTAAAGGCTGGAAAATATTTTGGGGGCCTTTGTGATATGTAGACCCAGCAGCCAGGCTAGAGAATGGCAGTCCTGGTCCTGACCATGTGCTCAGGGGTTAAGATTCAGTGTACCCCTAAATGTCAGTATGGCCATGGGCAGCCCTGATGCTCTTAGCATTAGGCACAAATAATACATGTGGGAGAAGGAGCAACCCTCTGCCAGCCCAGGTGTGCTAATCTTGGTGGTGCTGTTGCAGTGCGGCAAGTCCATGGTCTGGTTTTCCCATTTTTTATTCCACTGTCTTCCTCTGAGGGAAGCTGGAAGCCTTATGTGACTGTTGGCAATGTCCTGAAATCCTGGAGTGCTAAATGCTGTGCAAGTTTAAGGTATTATTTTCTTCTGCAGTTGTGTTGAAGTAGCACAAGGTGTCATTTGTAGGTGAGGTCAGGTCTTGGGTGACTGCCATTGCAATGGGAGAAAGCCCTGCTCCGGAGAATTACAGCTACAGTGGAACAAAAGCAAACATAAGGGAAAGGTCCTCAGCCAGGACAACTGTGCTGTCACAGCTCTACCTGTGAGCAAATTCTAGCTGCACACCTGGCAGGCTGAGAAGGCTCAACAGGGTGCTGGGGCTGTGGAGGCAGCAGTGCTCTCCTGGCTGCCTTCACCAGTTTTCACTGTATTCATACACTGTAGGCAGCAAATTCTTACCCACACTTTCATATTTGCATCTGGGTTAATCCCAGGGTGGTTTTCTGAGCTTTTCTTTCAGGGCTGATGGCCCATATTGGCAATTTCCCCTTCTGATAAAAGGATATAAGGAAAAGAGAGGGTCAAAATGAGTCCTCATGGAGAGAGCTGCCAGCACCTTTCAAGTGAGGGATTTGGGATGCTTCATATACTAAGGCAGGTTTCAGCACTCTGCCTTGTGCATGTGAATCCATACTATATGAGCTCTTTGGTCTTTCAGATGCCAGGCACAGCAAGACATGACCGAGAGATGGCAATCCAGGCCAAAAGAAACCTGTCCAAAACGACTGACCCTGTAGAAAGACTTCGCCTGCAGTGTTTAGCAAGGGGATCTGCAGGCATCAAAGGACTTGGCAGGTGAGTCTAAGAAGTCAGATCCATTATTCAGCTTCAGAACTTTAGCTGTAGGAGACTGATGGGGTAAGCAGGGACCAAAACTTGAATTTCCTGATTCCAATGCAAATGATACAACCCACAGAGCCTGGTCTTGGGTCTCCTGTGTTTTGGGAGACAGGACTGAGCTGCTCGTTTGTTGAAGGATGCAGACCATGAATCCCTCAGAGGAAGGTGTGTCCTTGAGAGGGGGAACAAAGGAGGGGGAACATTATCTCTCTCTTTGATACTTTCTATAATTAAGTATCTCAATGCTGGGATTTTGTGCTTCCTTTCCCTTGGGGTGTGATTCCCCTGTGTGTAATAATCTATTAGCTGTTTGGTTGATGGGAGGCATCTAGAATTCTTCTGCAGTCACACTGAGAGTGTAGGTCACCCCACCCTTAGGAAAGGGTACATCACACCCTGAAACCACTCCTGGGCCTCATAAACCACAGAGGGATACAAGGTCACCAGCTGGAACTTCATCTACAAACCCAACTTTTAGATGACTCAATGTATAATGAATAGGAAGACTCCTTCAGTTAAGTCAGACTTCACCTCATTTAAGTTTAGCAGTGTAATATTCAGGCACCCAATCTAAGCAAGTCACCACTGCTGCCAGTAAGTGTGGTGGGTTTTTGTTATTGTGGTTTTTTTTTCCTTCCCTCCCTAATTTTTTTTCTTTTTCCCTCAGAAGACTGTACAAGGGGGAAATGTTACCTCAGAAAGGTGTCCCTGTGCTCTGTCATTGTGCTAAACTGCTGCAGCATTGTCCAGGTTGTCCAATGCATTCTCCTCAAATTGCACATTTTTCACAGAGTATTTCGAATTATGGATGATGACAACAGCAGGACTCTTGATTTCAAAGAATTTGTGAAAGGATTAAATGATTATGCTATGATGATAGACAAGGAAGAAGCACAAGAGATTTTCCGGATATTTGATAAAGATGGCAATGGAACAATTGATTTTGATGAATTTCTTGTTACACTGAGAGTAAGTCTGGGAATTTATGTTATTACTTCAAAAATGGAAAAAAAATCCTTAATTTCTCATTGGGTGAATATGAAACAGAGCACTTTTTTTCAACTTAGTAGCTAGGAAAGTCTACAGCTCTATTTAAAAAATCAGTAACTCTTGAAAAGTTAAAATGTTCTATGTCCATCTAAATACACTAAAGGAGGAAAATCACCCTAAACACCACCTCTGTGGATAAGAGAGATAAGAGAGCCGTGAAGTGAATAGTTAAAAAGAAATGGTTGTGATTTTTTTTTTAATTATTATTATTTGCTGCCTTGATTTAGGTACCTAAATTCCTATATTGCAGTCCAGGTACTTATGTGGTTCAGACTATTAATTGCACTTGTTTTTCTGTCATTTTCTCATGCATCTCCTTATAATATGAACTAATGCAGTGGTGGTTTTACCAACCAGCCACAGTAATGCTGATTTCGCTTGGAGGCTTTTTGCTCTGCTGATGTCTAAGCAAGTAAGAAAGGAAATAATTAATGCTGATATCTAAGCAATCAAGAAAGGAAATAATTAAAGTAGATAGAATAGAAAAGTGTTCTAGGTAGCATTTTCTCTCTTACTGTCCGTTTGTTATCATACTGATAGACACTGAATAGTCTTGATCGTACTGCTTTTTTTTTGGTGATATTTTGCCCTTCCTAGCTCATAGACAGTGTAAACTGTCAGCAGTTTGTTGTCCCAAGTGCCTTGAAACAGGATTATTATTAACAGCAACAGTTACTTGAGTTTGGAACTACGCAAGTAATTGGCAGAAATAAAATCATTCTGTTATTCTTTCTTTACAGCCCCCAATGTCAAATGCAAGAAAAGAGATCATCATGCAGGCGTTTAGGAAGTTAGATAAAACTGGAGATGGTGTCATAACAATTGAAGATTTACGGGGGGTGTATAATGCAAAGCATCACCCCAAATACCAAAATGGAGACTGGACAGAAGATCAAGTTTTTAGGGCCTTTCTGGATAATTTTGATTCACCCTATGACAAAGATGGGAAGGTGAGTAAAGCAAACACCTAATGTCAAACCATGAAATCACCATCTGACTCAGTATTTGACTTAAATTATTAAATGTGAGAGTGATTGCAGTGCCAAACATGCATTTGAGTTACATATGGGGTGTGTGTGTGTGTGTGTGTGTGTGTGTGTGTGTAGCATTAAAATGGATGCATAACCTCTGCATAGGACTGTTGTTACAGCTTGCTTACACATTCAGAGACAAAGGGGCTCTGCAGGAAGTGCAAGGGTAGTTGTGAGATTGCATTTACAGGTTTGTAGCCTTAATGATCTACTTTCATAGACTAAGTATATCTTCAGAGTAACCCACATGATTGCTGATTTTCAAGATCCACATAAATTGTAGGATTTTTTACTTCTTAGGAGAATAAGTATGAGGATCCATTTAAAAAGGAGGTTCCCTAATGTGAAACTTTACAGTTACCAGTTCTCCAGTGTGTGTAATTACTGAAAGACATGGAAATCAGTCCATAACACAGATAGATTTATTGGCAGAGAGTTGGAGGGAGGGTGGGATTGGCGTGGCTGCCACCAGCCATGTGCCCTGAGGAACCACTGGCTGGGCTGGGGCTGGAAGCCCCTCCTGCCTTCCACTTTGACTCTCCAGCGCAAGTACAAAGCCTGGGCACTTCCTGTGATGCACTTCTTACACATCCACTTTGTAACATCTCCAAGTCAAGCATGCTTTCTTTCCCCTCGCTATGTGTCTGCAAACTTCTCTGGTCTGAACTTAGACGTGTCTGATGAACTTAGAGCAATTGTGGATCTCCTCTGTTCACATGGTGGTATTCTTGGTCTGAGTTGTTCATAATAACAAACTAGATAAGGTTTCATCAGTGCTTTGTGGAATGTCTTTAACACTTCACGCTTCTGAGGTGTCACCTGGGTTTAAACAGCTGCACCACACTGGTGACTCTTACCTGTCTAATGGCTGGCTACTACACCCAAATCCTCCACTTGCTTTGCTTCCAACAGGAAGGCTCTCAGTTTGTAGGGAGGCAATGCTTTTTATTTCCTTCAGGCATCACTTCTCACTTGGTGGAGCTGAATTTCATCCCTTTTTCTGTTCTGCCATCCTCAGAGGTACCAGTCGTGTGAGTTGTCTCCTTCCTTCTCTGTAGCAGTGGTGACATCTAGCAAACCTCAGGCAAAATGTTCCTGCTTTTTGTGCTGATACATGAACACATGAGAGTCTCCAAAATGATCCTTGACCAGTTCAGTGCCTTGTACCTCATAAATTCTGCAGTGTTTGAGCTTATGAAAAAGTTACTCTGAGCACCCACATCTTGTTCAGCAATCCTGACATTAGTTCACCCAATTGCAGTTTCTTCCAAGAACTGTGACAATCCTGTGCCTGATTCAGAGGTCACTAATGACACTGGTATGAGCTGAAACCTAGAATGTTTTTAGCAGAAATGCTTAAAGGCATCTGCTAGGAAGGTCCTCTTCACCATGATCTTGCTGGATGCCTCTGAAATTGGCAGGGTCAGTGAAGCTTGTAATTGTTTCCTGACAGTAAGACAGTCCGCAGTGTTCACTTCTCCCCATTGTGACTTTTACTTAACTTTCAAACAGTATAGGTCATTCCTTGAATAAACATCACATAGAAAAATATTTGCTTCTACTGCATTGTGCATTTGAGAGCTAAGGCATCACAAGCGACATGCACTTTTGTATCTGCCAATCTGTTTGGGTTTTTTTAACAATAATTTTAAAAGCAAGTCAACCTCAAAATCTCCATGAAAGATTTTCAAAACTCAGTTATTTGAAAAAATGTTTGCTTCTTTAAGTGAGACCTGTTTAAAACAATGATATTTTATCTTTAGTGAATGGATATAAAAATCCTAGCTGTCCCTTGGTTGCATCAGAAACCCCATCCACTTTTGTTAATAATAATGCAAAAAAACCCCCCAATTTATAGCATCGAGAGGGGTGCGGGGAGCATTAAAACATTTGAGCAGCACTGATTTTAACTTCAGTTCCTGGTAAGGTTAGTTTAAGTCTACATGTTTCATCTCCATCCAAGTGTTCCCGGAGGACAAGAGCTCTTATTTCTAAAAAAAGAAGTGAACTGATGCAAATTTGCAGTGTCTTCATTCTTCCGGTTGGATTCCTTTTCACCAGCAACAATGTGAAATAGCGGGTGTTAAGTTCCATTTAGAGTTCTTCTCAATGTGTGGTTTTGACTTATAGTATTAAAAACACAAAGGTTCAATTTTCTATTTTAAATCCTTCTGTCTCAGGTCACAACTGAAGAATTCATGAACTACTATGCAGGAGTCAGTGCGTCAATAGACACAGATGTCTATTTTATCATCATGATGAAGAATGCTTGGAAAATCTGATCATATGATTAAAGGAGCAAGACTTTACTTCCACCTTTTGTAGGTTCCCATGATCAAGTTTATGCACAACAACATGCTCATTTTCCGTAATAACAGCTTCCAGTAACTGTGCCAATTACAGTCAATCTGCAGAAATAATTCCCTGATGCTTCTGTAGGCTCAGCCTCAGGGGAATGGAGCATAATCAGAGCAGATCTGGCATCCAGTCAGTCTGCATATCTGTCCCTTTTCTCCCTGCATCCCTGACACTTCTTTTCTGAGATGAGATGCTCCTTTCTTCTCAGACATCTGCATTAGGTCCCTGTGGCTCCTGATTGTATCCCTCCTCCAGTGTTAGTTCTGCTTGACAGAGGATGCAAGAGGAAGAGACTGAAATAATCCGGAAGGGTGGTGGTCTGGGGAAAACTGTTATAAATGTGAGGAGGTCTGTCCCAGGAGTGTCACATAACCTTCTCGCCTGTAGCACTGCAACATCTCTTGACTTCTTGGGACTCACTTGTGGGATGGATCAACTGCTTGGCTCACTGCTGAGAACATGTGAGTTCCCAGTGCCAGGAGGCTGGAAGGAGAAACAAATAAAGAAGGGGAGACATGGACCAGAATAAATGCAAGCTGCTCTTTAAAGACCTGTTTTCTCCCCAGCTTACAACTCAACATACAGGCATCTTTCCTGTGCATGCCTTGTTTCAAACCTGCCTGGGCCTGCTAATAGCTTTTTTCCCCACTTTGGTTTCTTTCTTTTTGTACTGTGAGATCACCTCACTAATATTTTTCTTTAAAGGACATACATATGTTACTGTAGTTTCTTCTCACTGTTCCTGGAACATTTATTGGTCCCGTAGCTGCTGTCTGTACATATCTACACCAAAAGTTGCTTTCTACTTTTTGTATTTATACTGGTTTGTGACCAAGCTATGACTTCAGGGTACTTCTGGGAATTCAAGAACTTGTAACTTTCTTGCCTTGTCATCTTCTGTTTATGTTTCTAAAAAAAGGATGGGAGCCTGCCCTCTTGTTCATGCCAATGAGGCTATCTCAGTTCTGAGATCTTCTGTCCTTTCCCCATATAGAGAGTGGGGAAATGTGCACAAAGGAAACTGGGGGGAAAAAAAAAAAAAAAAAAAAAAGGGAAAAAAAAAAGTAATCTAATTCTTCTTGCCTTGGTTCCTTTTCCTTTTGTGATCTTCTTTCTGCTTCTCTTGCATTGTTGTGCTGCTCTTCCATACTGAGATGCTGCCTCTGTAGCAAAGGGCTTGATATGACATTTGCTCCATTTCAGGCTGGCCACCAACTAAAAATAGGCTTACAGATTGGACTTTCAAAAGAGCTTGACTGATAAAGTCTCAGCTTTTACTTAGCCTGGCCTGCTAGCAGTTCAAACTGAGGTCCTGAGTTCCTGCTTCTCTGGTCTTGTTCAAATTCTGCTTTTGTTTTGTCCAGCCATGATCTCAGTACAAGCAATAGCTGCTTGCAATTCCTTAGTAAAGGCTGTGCAAACTCAATTATTTTCTTTGATCTGTAAGCCTCCAGAAACTTACATACTGCCTGACACAGGAAACTGTTAGAGAGGGTCTCTTTATGATTGACATCAATAAGAGGAGCCTTTACTTACTGCGATGCTACAGAAGTGCCAACATACCTTACATGAATAACAAATTTATTATCAAATAGAAGCTGTACATGTCCTGGCAGCTTTAGTAGAATCCATTTATTTCTCATTTATTAATTGGCTTCACACAGGGTGTCATGTTATCTGTATTCTATATTAAAAAAAAAAAAAAAAAAAAAAAAAAAATTTCCTTCCGACACACTATCTCATGTCTTCAGACCCCACAGTGATCTGTTGTGTTGACATTTAATCAAGTGTAGTGGAAGTTTTAATCTCATCTGCAACCAGTTTGTCTTCTCACTGTTAATATTCTCCAATTTTCTTTAATCCCAGATGCAATATATCTTTTCAGAAGGGAGGAGTGGTACTGGAAGCAACTATGGGTTTTTTTCAAAACAGCAGAAGCTTTGTCACGGGCTGTCAGATTCCTGTGATGGCTGGGGAAAGCTCAGTGCTCCAGGGTGAGGTTTCTGCGCTGAGCTTGACTAAAGGGGGTTTGTGTGGGGATCTGGGGGACGTGAGCCAGGAGACCACAAACTCTCTTGTCCTGGTGGGAAGGCTCAGCACCTACCCTGCGGGTGAGAGCTGCAGCAGGTGCAGCCCTGATGCCCTCAGACCCACTCCCAGCTCCTTGGGTCTGCCTGCCAGTGGACCTTATTGCTCACTGCATACCTTTTGAAGCATCAGGAGGACATTTTTCACAATGTACTCATTTTGAAATTTGTATGGATCATGTTTCCAAAGGCTGGTTTTAGTTTGGTTTGAAGTGGGTTACAAAGTTTCTTTTCTCTTCTGTGGGAACAGAGTTGCTCCTGGAGCAATCTGAATAAACACTAGTAACTGCGGAAAAGGTATAATGCTTTCAGGAGAAAGAAATAATCTGGTAAAGAATAGCATGTGATTTTTTACTTATAATCAGATGCCATAGAACACAAATTGGACTCTGTGCTGTAAGAAATGTCATTTGATTAATATGTGTGCAAATTCATGGAACAAACACAGGCATTACATTGGCTGCTAAACTAGGAAAATCTCTACTAGGAGATGCGCAGCCATAATGACACACTGGGCACGCACACCTGAGATTCAGTGGAAGCAGTCTGCAGAGGTTAAAGTCGAGTTAAAGGGATTTGAACCAGACTTGAAGGAATATCAGGGCTAACAGGGGGTGACCAGAGCCCCCCTTCAACACTTCACTGTCCCTGTCTGCTGGGGCTGCTGCACTGTGATCTGGGAGAGAAAAAAAATGAAGCTCAGGCGTTTGCGTTCAGCTGCAGGCTGCTTGCTGTCTTCTGGTTAGAGACCCAGCAGATGCTGGAGATGGTGATGCAGGCTGTCCTGCCAGTCTGTGGTTGCACAGCGCACACAGCAGAAACTGGGAGATAGGTGGCAATGCACATGATCATATCTGGTGCTAGCATCAAGATTGTCAGATCTTGGTTGATGCTTCATGTTCAAAGCACTATTTCTTCTTTCTGATTGTGCAACAGATGCCAAACAGAATAGCACAAACCATAAGAACATTTAAGTCTGCAGGGCTGTGGGCCAATACCAGAGGTAAAGGTTTTGCTTGAACCTTGGGCTCCAGCTTGCCCCACCACACAGCACCTTGTCAGGGCTTCAGGGCTGAGCTCTGCCCTCCCCACCGGGCTGCACCAGAAGCATACTCTAAAAATTCTGGCTGAACCCTCTTGTCCCTCATAGAGGGGAAAGACTCCCTTATCTCCCCCCCCAATATGCTTCAAGCTCTACCTGAGCCATCAGAGCATCTCTGTGATCCACCACCACCCCAAAATAACACAAGGCCTGGGAGTGGAGAAGCAGGGGACAGCCTCTCCCTCTGACATGTTCCCTGGGGAAAGTCAGCACTCCAGCAGAATTCTTTACTGCATTTTGGTTTTACCCCTTGTGTGCTTTTGTGGCTTCATGTTTTTTGTCCTGGATGGGAAATTTTTGGCTTGATATGGCCCACAGCTGTTGTTTGGCTCATGTTCACTCCCACAGCATAAATTTCTGGTTCAAGAAATTGAGTTTTAATGCAAGCCCAACTCACTGGCATATATTCTTGAAATTACACCACAAGGTATATTCACTGATGTGATTCTTTATGTTGGTCTCCTGGCACAAAGCTGTCTTGGCAGAGGCAGGTGGAAGCAGCTGGGGGTTTTGCAGATGAAACCACCTGTGCACATTGCTGTATGAAAGCCAATTTGTCTTTATGTAACAGCTTTTACAAGGTATTGCCTCAAGCCTCTGTAGCTGCATGAGCAGAACAGAGCTTTGCCACTCCAGAGCAGGCCTCCCAGCCTCTGCTGTCACTGGCTGGCAGGAGGAGTGAGCCTGGGGATTTTGGCTATTTTTGCCTTCCAGCTGCTGTCCTCCACACAAGAAGCAGCAGCAGCATGCTTAGCTTTCCCTCATAAAAGAGATAATGCCGAGAGCAACCTGCCACCGTTGGCAGCTGCCCACTTTCTATGACTTTTGCTATGCTTACAGCCCATCCTGTTTCTCTAGAAATGCTTTCTCATAGACAGCTCAGGAGGAAGGGGTGAGCAGGAAGCAGGTTTTCTAGTGGTCTGTACTTAATGCCAAGTTTTCAGGTGGTTGAGAGCAGCCTTGGTATTTGACACAGCCCCCAGCCATACTGGTTTACCTCAGATGAGCGAGCATTGGTTTCAGGTCTAGCACCTCTTCAGCTCTCACACCAACAGAGGCTGCAGGAGGCATAAGCACGGTAGGATGCAAAAGCTTCAGCTCGCTGGTTTGCAGCCAACCCCGCGTATGGCAGCCCCACCTCTGACAAAACATGGACCCAGGCTTCCTCCCAGTTTAAAATATTGCTGTTGATCCCAACAGGACCGGCAGCTGAAGAATGGGGATGGGATCCAGACTCTGTTGAATGTCTTGGCAAGTAGGAAAATGAGAAAGAAAGGAAGTGCAATGTTTCATGGAATTTAACTCAAGTCTGGTTTTCTGTGGAAAAGCAGAGATTGTGGCAAAATGTGAGAAGTGTTTATTTTCCAGAGATAAATCTGTTATTTTTGCATTGAAAACATGATATTTTTGCCAAAAGCTGCATTTTTTTTTTTCCTTTCAGTTGATACTTTAGCATTCAGAATTTACTGGGTTTTGTGTTTGTTTGATTGTTTGTTTGTTTTAGTTTATGTACATATTTTTTTTTTTTATTTCCTGGCATTATCAGT